TCAGTAACTCATAATCGGAAATTTTGATCTGACAATATTTCATAATCACCCGTCTATCACACAAAGATGAAAGAAGTGTTTATGAATTTCTACTAAAGATGTAAATCACATGCAGTTGTTTTATTTCCCACTAATAAAAGGTGAAAAGCGGCGTATGTGTGCGTATTTGTGAGTCTGACTGTTTTTTTTAGCAGTATATTTCATTGAAGGAATCCTTAAACAAATGTATTGGGCTGCTCAAGGTGGGTACATGTTGGAGTAGCTGTTACTTTCATTCTGGGATGTTGCTTTTGAAGACTTTATTTCCTCTTTTTTTCTGGATGTGAATGTTTTTTTTTTTTAGACAATTACTTCCTCTGGTATTGGATGCTGTGCAGCTGGAAGGATTTTTACAGAAACCTTTTTTTTTTAATTCCCCCCCTTGTCCTGTCCGGCATTGTGACACTTAGAATTATTGTCTGAGTGTCAAGGTGAGGCCCAACAGATTTACTTTCACAAGCAGAGCATTATGGCTGGCCTTAATGCTCCACTTGATATATAAATAAAAGTTTATTAGAATTTGCTTTGGGCTTGTTTCAGATGTAATGGACACAGGGATGAAAAAACAAAGAAGAAAACAAAGCAGAAAAGTGAGAGAAGGTTTAAAAGGGAAAGAAGGAGATAGGAATAGAGGAGAGAGAGAGAGAGCGGTATAAAGAGAACACAAATCAACATCATTGAAGTCTGACTCTAGACCTGTGGAAAGAAAAAAAAAAAAAAAACGAGAAACTACAACAACAACAAAACACATATAATGAAACTTATAACATCATTAGAAAGTATTTTATACAGTACATGGCAATACAAGATATATTTAGTGGTCTCCACAACCCAATTGAGTGTGTATCTGATAAACACCTGAATCTAAACACCTGTGTGAGCATGCTTGTCACTATAAGGTTTCTCCATAAAAATGTTCAATAGTGGATGTGGAGACCCACAGACCCATCCCCACAGGACACGATGGTAACACAGGGAAGACCGGAGCCACAGACACACAGCGGTCCCCAAGCCCGGAGCTCTGGGAGTCCCCCAACAGGGACACCCACACCCCAAATGGAAGCCCCGGGTGACCCCCAGCAACCACAATGTAGAAACCCCAGGAGGCTGCAGCGACGAGTCCACAGGCCCCGCCGGCAACCCGCCCCTCCAGATTAGATCCAGCCATGGACACCAAGCCCCAAGTCCCGAGGTCATACCACCCCCCAACAGAGGTCCGACAGAGCCAGGGCACCCAGGCCCACAGAAACCTTTTTACTTTTGGACATTTATTATGAAGCGTAACCATGACAACAAGGTGGTTTTTACAACTGGAAGTAGCTGATTAACATCTCAAAGCTCAAATATGACCTCAAATACAGTCCCAAATCCCAAATGAGTTGGGAGGCGACGTGGATGCATCTCCGTCTACCTGGCAGAGGTGTACGAGTGACTGACTGCCGAGATCCTGGAGCTGGCAGGAAACATGGCTCATGACAACAAGAAGACCAAGATCATCCCCCGACACCTGCAGTTGGCTGTCTGCAATGATGAGGAGCTCAACAAGCTGCTGAGAGGAGTGACCATCACTCAGGGAATCAAGTGGTCCTGCTGCCCAGGAGGACCGAGAGGCCTGCTGGGTCCATGTCGACCAATCAGCCAGTTTATTCAGATCTGCTGTGGTATGGACTGCTGCAGCTCCTTCCTGCCCACAGCCATCAGTGTATATAACATCTCTAAATGAAACCAGGATGATGAGCTACAACATTAATCTCCCTTTGGGATTAATAAAGTATTTTGAATTGAATTGAATGTACAATTGATTTACTTTTGAAACAAGTCTGATAAAAAATGACTGCTACAGCCTACTGACTCTAAAGACCACATAAATGTCTATAACTATCAATTTTAAAGCTAATCAAGTTAAATTTCATGTGGTAGTAGCTGAGTGTCATTCACCACATATAATCTGAGTGCTACCAGACTACATCTAATCTCATTTCCAAGGTTTGACCTAAACAGTTATAACGTTGTCCTTTTTCAGTATTATTCATCTTAGTTTAGTACTCTGGCAGTGGGAAATTATTTAAAACCAGTAAAAACAGCCAGTAGAAAAAAAAAGTTTGCTTAAACACTAAAACTAAATGTTTTGTGCTGCTGAGATAATATCCAATTGACTTCCTTTTCTCTCAAAATTCTCCAGTTAGATTTTGTTCAAATAATGTTTAAATTTTATGCCCCATC